GTCAGCATAATTTAGAGTTCTTAAATAAAATTTATAGCCTAATAAGACACTTCATTTTTTTTAAATTTAATATCAAAATTAAAGAGTTCCTTGTTATTTTTGTTACTAAATTATTAAAGTTTAATTATTATTGTTTCGACTTAGTTTATGTTGATTTTGTCAAGCATTATTGAATAAAACACCTTTATAGATGAATAAAATAAAATGAAAATTAACAATGTGCGGGGTTTATAAAACTTTCAGAAAATGGCAGCCCTAAACACAGAGGTTATTCAAAATACTACATACGTGCCATACGTCATTGACGATAACTAAACCCCTCATTATGTAATTTTAAACAATGTAGGTACATGTGTTCTTCAGTTATAGTGCTTCATGTTATTGATTATACGTAAAATATTAAATTATAGGACGGAAGTTAAAATTTTAGTTTGAGCTGAGAACGAAACCTGCTCAACACGTGGCTGCATTTCTCGCCAAGTCCCCTGAACACAATGCATGTCTCTCATTTTGTTATTGTGTCGGCCGCTCGGAAGCAAGCACGTGTGGCTCATCCCACCCGCAATCCTGTCTTTATTTATACGAAATGTTTCTTAATTTTACTCCAGTAAGTCACATTATCGCTATTTCAAGGCACATAGTTGACAAAAATGTAACAGTAGAAATCACATGCTTATACATCATTGTAGAAAGTTCTTTTTACTTTAATGGTAACGCTAATGAAGTAAAATATGCGTCCATTGTGGAGGAACACTATACCGAGAATTACCAAAAGAGCAAAGTCCTCCATTGTATGAAGTATTATCATATACTCGACTAATGTAGGTTGGTAATGGACGTTTTATGAGGAAAGTCGTTTGAACCATATTCAAGGGATACATAATAACTACAGAGGATATAAAATTATTTATTATCTATCCTGAATTTCTACACGAATACAATAATTATAAAGTACCTGCGGGTAATAAGGTCTTGCTAAGGGAAAATTGAAAATAAAATCAGAAATATCTAAGTTGGTCTACACATTTTAATAAAAATCATTAGTTCAGTACAGTTTCTATAAAGTATGAACTAATAATTCTAACATTTACCACAAAGTTAAAACAAAATTAAACATTTCTAAAAACCTTGCTAGTAGGCCTTATTTTACTATGGTAGGGTTATAAGGCCTACTTCTTTAACGAACTAAAATAATCAATTTTTATTTAATAGTAGTGATCAATAATCACATGAATACAGCAATTAAGACTTAAAATTGTAAAAGAATATATAAATTCCCTCGCCTAGCACTACTCAAGTCATTAGTATAATGATGAACAAACTGACACACTCCTCGTGATTATCATATATCAGGTTGAGTTGAGAATTGGGTTTATTATTGGGTTGAGTATCCTTCCAACCAAATTTCTGTCACAGCGGCCATTCTCAACGGAGACTAGTCCATCAGCACAGTACAGAATTATAGTATCCAAATGTATGCGCAAGCTCAGGTGCACTCTCTATTCCCTCACAATCATCAAATCCCAATCCGACACGGTCCAAGAGAGCTTAGGTGCAGGACTAATATATCCGATAAATAATATATCCGTAATATAATACCATCTAATGTCAAAGCCTTAATTTTTAGACACACTTTGTCCTTGCACTATTTGGAAAGCTGAAACCAGGCCATTTTCTGACGACAACATTAGTTTAATAATTAAAGCGTACGATTTATTTGCATTTATAATATTTTAAAAGTGATATAAAATTCATAATAAAACAAAAACCTACACAAGAAAAAGGAGTATAATATGGCCTATGGTGAAATTTAGTAGGCCTTAATAACCGCCGACCAAGTATTTAAGAAAAACTAAATTTTACTCAAATCCTCAAGATCAACAAAATATTTATTCATAAAGATAAAGATTTCGATTTTGGATAGCCAAGTGTAATATTAAAAAACATACCTCCAACTCTGGTGGCAGAACGCGGGGTAACGCGTCTGCAAACTTGTAGAGACATTATCGTGCAATAGTACATACATACTTACATATAATCACGCCTCTTTCCCGTAGGGGTAGGCAGACTTCTTTCCACTTGCCACGATCCTTACATACTTGTTTCGCTTCGTCCACTTTCATTATTCCCTTCATACATGCTCTTCGGTTTAGGGTACTCTTGACCTGGCCTTTTATTATATATAGTAGCTGTTATTATCTCCTTAAGCGAGTGCGATTATTATAAATACGATTTTTGTTACTTAGGCCTTATTAGCCGACAGGCCTTATTACCCGCAGGTACTTTAGATATAGAGTAACTTCAATAATTAATATTATTATTTTAAGTATCTCTTCAAAATCCAAAAATTATACATGAATATTAAGTATATGAAATATAATAAGAATAATATTAATATTTTAGCTTTTCTCCACCACGGCTAGGAAGAACTATTGCATGGCAATCCTCCAGCCATCAAAATCCTGCTGAAAATAAGCCTTCCCATAGATAATGGTCAAGATTACGTAGTAAAATTATTTAATCTCTGGCTAAGATACTGCATAAGCTAAATATTTTGTTAATTTGTATGCTAAAAAGTTTAAACAGCTTGACAGCGTAGTGGTTAACCTCTTGGCTGCGAGCCGCGACACTATCTTATAAAAAGTATATGGAAAACTGGCAATGAGACATACCTAGCCACATTAGTATCAAAGCGACATAGACCCTTCCTTAAGTAATATGCCATGCCTGATAGCCAAAATGGAGCCAGTTGAGGCTTATAAAATGATTCCTCTGTATTAATCAACCCGGCATTAGGTCCCGTGATTACGATTTACGACCGGTTTCCGAGATCTAATTGCAATATAATTCCACCAGATATAATATAATATAACAAAAGATTAATGATATAAAAAATAATATATGTAGGTACGCAATATATTGCTTTAATCGACCAACACAAATGAGCAGAATTATTCTGGGTAATTTTGATATCGGTTAGAAACAGTAAACACGCAACTACAGTAATTTTAATTACTATTCAGTATGTAGCTACTGCTGCTCATATTTTTATTTCCTTTTCAATTAGAGGACAATAAACTCAGTGTTTTTGACATAGGTATTTAAATATAGAAGGAAAAGGAAGGACTGCCTCGTAGATCCTAGAAGTCCTAAACGCAACTGCTGATCAGGAGGTCCCGGGTTTGAATCCCGGGTCAAGACAACAAAATTAGTTGTCAAGTTTTTCTGTCAATAAATTCCCAGTAGCAGCCCAAAGTCAGGAAGTTGGAAGTGTTACACTCTCGTGCCTTGGAAATCACGTAAAGCCGTTGGTCTGCGCCTGATTTCTCTCCGGCCGAGTCGATCTGCCGTTCCATGGAACGATGAGAGTGAGAAAATAGAGTGCACCTGTGCTTACGCATCCACTTGGGCACTATATTCCTGTCCTGCGAAGAGGGCTAGTCCGTTCAGACTGGCCGCCGTGACCGAAACTCCGTTTGGATGACATTATATTATGTTAGGTTAATTTTAGAGATATTATGTTATATAAAATAACGATTTTCTAGAGTAGAATGCATTAAGCATTCTTCTCCAAAAAATCGTTTTTCATTCTATAAAAAAAATTCAAGGCACTTAGTAGAAAATGTTCCTTAATTGCCACCTTGACCTTTTCGTCGTGGAAAAATTATTTTGAACAAAGAAAAGATTAAATATGTTGACAGAAAATACCTAAATAACTGGGACCAAATTTTAAAAGCTTGAAAATGAAATATTTCTTTGCTGCTAGTGTTTAAATTAAAACCGGCCAATGAATATACCTACTGGTACCTGGTATAATTGAATTACTATCACTAGGTATAATTATTGATTTCATTAATTCGCCTCTGGTTGAAACTTATATGAGAGACTAAGAAGGGATCTTTCCATAAAAAAACAGCAACATTTTTACGGCTCCGTGGCGCAGTAGCTTAGCAATGAGTTGCAGCGTTAAGTGACGCGGGGTTCGAATCCCGCACGGAACAAGTATTTGTATGGCCTACAATTAATATTTCCGGGTCAATATGTTTGTAATTGTAAAATTTATATATGTCAAATGCCCCCACGATACAGGAGAAAATCCTAATGTTGGGCACGTTTTTAAAAGAAAAATCAGTTCACTAATCTCAGAGATATTGAGTTGCTTATAAAAAAAAACTTTTCTTTCTGTGTAAAATGACCAATATGCACTAACTCATATCGTCCCTTGGGTGTCGTAAAAGGCAACAGAGAGAAACAAATTAGGAAATGTACAGTAGGGTCTTCCTAATAACAATGAGAAATAATTTAAAATTAAAAATTTTGTAGATACAGCCGACTTCAATATGAGTTATTAAGAATAACTCAAAAACTATTGGTTTGACCTTGATCAAATTCATATGGGATATGGGACCACACGAGAAGTACCAGCTTTCAAATAAAAAAAAGAATCATCCAAATCGGTACACCAAGTAAAAAGTTATGAGGTAACACACATAAAAAAAAACATACAGTCGAATTGAGTACCGTCTCCTTTTTGGAAGTCGCCAGAAACATCCTGTGACCTGCCAAGCGTGGCAACATGACAAGTCCCCCTTATGAGGTTATCTTTAGGGAGAGCTATGTTCAACAGTAGATTGACCTCCTTCTTTGTATATTAGAGCTAACAACGAGCTAACAATTCACCAAATGCAACCAACTTCAAACAAAAAAGGCCATTGACAAAAGTTCCTCTAAGGACATTGTCAGTCCTGAGAACTAAAATGAAGTATCTCAGACCTCATAAGCATAGCTTGCTTATGTATACTCTAAGATCTCAGGATGTAATCATACCGGTTCTCTAACTATCCAAACCGGAACACAGCAGAGGGTGGTAACAACCCAGGCTACTTAACAGAAAAAGAACCTTTGAAGTACTGTTTATATAGTATATGTCAGCGAAAACCTTTTCCAGACCACTTTCTTTAATAATAGGATTGAATAAATTTTACTTATCTTATTTACAGCTGGCGATTTTAATAAGTGGATCCTACAGTGCTTGCCTATAGCGACAGTAAATAACATATGTTTTAGAATATTTGTTGTTCACAACTTCCACGTTATAGACTCCAGAGCAAGAGCAGACAGGACACTCGCGATTATGAAGTTTAACGATGCTGCAGACGAAGGTTCGGCGCGCTACGTCTCGACGCTGCCGACAGCTCCGCTAATAAACACTTACTTGAGTGCCTTAAGTGCCTGTCAGTCTGCTAAATGCTTAAATATTGAATAAAAAAAGTTGTTTTGATCATGATTCAGTCTCAAATTTAAGTTTCGTATAAATGACCATAATATATTTTTTCTGTGTAGCGGTCGTCGTAGGAGGCATCTACGGGAAATTATAGAAATATCTCAAAGCTCATTTATCTATCGTTTGATTGCCATATAGGAAATCTCATTTACGCCACATCTATACTAATAAATAAAATTCAAGTGTCTGTTTGCAATGTAAAAATAACAGTTTTTTACTAAATGCATATGAAAATATATACAGAGCTTATAACAAAAACACAATTTTTAAAATTTTTGTCTGTCTATTTCTTTGTTCCGACTAATCTCCGGAATGGCTTGACCGATTTTGACGGGACTTTCACTGGCAGATAGCTAATATTATAAGGAATAACTTCATCATCATTACAGCCCTTCACAAGTCCACTGCTGAACATAGGCCTCCCCCAAAGAATGCCACAAAACACGGTCCTGAGCCACCTGCATCCATCGACTTCCTGCATGTCTTACCAGGTCGTCACTCCATCTCGTGGGGGGACGCCCTACACTTCGCCTACCGGTACGAGGCTGCCACTCGAGAACCTTTCTTCCCCATCGGTTGTCGGTTCTTCGAGCTATATGGCCGGCCCACTGCCACTTCAGCTTACTAATCCGTTGGGCTATGTCGGTCACTCTGGTTCTACTGCGGATATCCTCATTCCTAAGTTTATCACGCAGAGAAACTCCGAGCATAGCCCTCTCCATAGCTCGCTGAGCGACCTTGAGCTTCCTCATACGGCCAGCAGTGAAGGACCACGTCTCAGTTCCGTAAGTCATCACTGGCAACACGCACTGGTTGTACAATTTCGTTTTAAGGTTTTGAGGTATGTCTGACGAGAAGATGTGTCGTAGCTTCCCGAACGCTGCCCAGCCGAGTTGAATCCGTCGATTGACCTCTCGGTCGAAGTTGGACTTACCCAGTCGGACTATTTGTCCCAGGTAAACATACTCGTCAACAACTTCGAGCTTAGTATTCCCAACAACTACCGGCATAGGTGTGACATGGACATTAAACATGATCTTAGTTTTGTCCATGTTCATCTTAAGACCTATCCGTTGGGAAACACTATTGAGGTCATTGAGCATAGTGCTTAGGTCCTCCAGCGATTCTGCCATAAGGACTATATCGTCGGCAAATCGAAGGTGAGTGATGTACTCGCCATTGATGTTGATACCGTATCCTTTCCAGTCCAGAAGCTTGAAAACGTCTTCCAATGCAGCGGTGAAGAGTTTCGGGGATATGACGTCACCCTGTCTTACACCTCTCTGCAATTGGATAGGTTTCGTACTCTGGTTCTGTACTCGGATAGCCATCGTAGCCCTACTGTACAAGCACTTCAACACTTCGATATACCGACAGTCAACTTGGCACCGCTGAAGGGACTGCAGCACCGCCCAAATTTCGACGGAATCAAAGGCTTTCTCATAGTCCACATACGCCAGACATAGTGGCAAATTGTACTCTTCGGACTTCTGTACAACTTGCCGAAGGGTATGTATGTGGTCTATGGTGCTAAAGCCCTTTCGGAAACCGGCTTGTTCGGGAGGCTGGAAGTCGTCAAGTCTGCGTGCGAGACGATTCGTAATGACTCTCGAAAACAGCACGTAGACGCGGCTCAGAAGGGAAATCGGTCTGTAGTTCTTCAAGAGAGCGTTGTCACCTTTCTTGCAGAACAAGACCACCGCACTTCTGCTCCACGCCTCCGGTGTAATGCCACCATGGAGGACGGAATTAAAGAGCTTCTGAAGGACTTCAAGTACCGGTCTTCCACCCGCTTTCAGAAGCTCCGCTGTAATTCCATCCTCGCCTGGGGCCTTACCGTTTTTAAGGTGCTGGAGAGCCATCCTAATCTCGCTCAGACTGACATCCGGGATATCTTCGGAATAGTGTCGGATAAGACTCGCTCTTGGATCGTTACTCACACTTGCGTGTGGCTCCAACGATGATGTGTACAGCTGCCCATAGAACCTCTCAATCTCACTCAAAATCTCAGGTGTCCCGGAAACGATGCTGCCACATTCTGTCTTCAGCTTTGACAGTTGGCTCTTTCTGGCAGACAGATCTCTGGCAAAGACTTTGGAGCCCTGGTTCCGCTCGATGGCTTCTTCAATACGAGCTGTATTGAAGTTGCGTAAGTCCCGCCGCATGCATTTGGAGATCTGTCTGTTCAGATGCCTGTATGCTGTCAAGTCTGTTGAAGAATGTAGCTTCATCTCCCGTCTAACAGCCATGAGATTAAGAGTGTGATCGGAGAGTTTTTGTGTTCTTCTGCGGCGGGTCTTGCAGAACTTAGCTCCAACCGCATGGACAGTTTCCACGAGCTTGTCATTCATATCGTCCACTTCATTGCAGTCTTCCAGGCACTGAAAACGGTTTTGTAACTCGAGCTGAAAGGTTTCGGGACTTTGGAACAGAGCACGAGGGGGACGGAGCGTTGACTTCATTAGACGAGACCTCTCCAACTTAACGTTTAGGTTCAGTGTGCCTCTAACCATTCGGTGATCGCTACCAGTTTTCACCCTCGCGATCACGGAGACATCACTGAACAGTTGTCGTCTGGTCGTCATAATAAAGTCAATCTCATTTTTTGTGGAACCGTCGGGGCTCGACCAGGTCCACTTCCTGTGGGGCCGCTTCTGGAAGAAAGAGTTCATCATAAAGAGTCCCTCTTTCTCCATGAAGTCGGCCAGCTGCTGGCCCCTTGGGTTCCGTTGCCCTATTCCAAATTTCCCTACTTTCAGCTCACCGTTCTCTCTTGTGCCTAGTTTTGCATTGAAGTCTCCCATTAACACCGTATATTGGGTTTTGGAGGAATGCATGGCTCTAGAGATATCCTCATACATTTCCTCCACCTCCTCATCGGGATGTGCCGAGGTTGGTGCGTAAACCTGTATGACCTTCAGCGAATACCGTTTGGTGATTCTGAGTATAAGGTACGCAACCCTCGTCGACACACTCCCGATTTTTACAACGTTGTTAACGAGAGACTTGTGGACGATAAATCCGACACCTCCTTGGGACAGATGGTCGCCCTCCCGGTGATAGAGCAAGTTGCCGGATTCGAGGATTACCGTGTCCTCCCCCTCTCTTCGGACTTCGGATAATCCTATAATATGCCAGCGCAACTTGTCTATCTCTTCTTCCAGCTCCACGATCTTCTCGTCAGTCCTCAGGGTGCGTGCGTTGTACGTTGCCAGGTCGAGTCGTCTAAGGTGGCAACCGAACCTCCACCGGAGATTCTTAGCACCCCCTGCCCCGCCGTTACCATGGTCGCCACCGTAGCCAGGAATAGCGGGGCCGCCGGGGACTGGGGGCCGTTTTTTTGTTGCTCTCATCATTGGGGGGGATTTGCCATAGTTGCCACGCTTGGCGAGCGGGTTGGCAACCGCAGTTTTTTTATTGTAATTTGGCTATTATCAGGAAGATGCTGCTGCTCATCTCCTGGCTGTTTCCCTTTGTCGCCTTTTACGACACCCACGGGAGGATATGGGGTAGTGGATATTCTTGACCGCCACTACACGGCAGGAATAACTTAGACAACTTTTATTTTAGAAAAGGATTTATAGGTTTCAGCGCAAAAAAATTAAAACCAAATTACACGCGGGTTAAGTCGCGAGCTACGGCTAGTGTAAAATATACGGACTTACGGGCTGATATGATCATACATATTATATGTTATGACCTATTATCTTTATATGTTATGACCTGGCTTGTAACAATTCGATGTCCTAATGACATACATGTGTGATGAATTGAGGCTTCATAGAAAAGTTCTAAAACTATAGCCAACATTATGAAGTTTAAAAATTGACTTGAAACTCATAGCGGAATCTTATTTTGCATTATCTTTTACTTCATTCACAGGTTTAGTAACTGTTTCCAAGTGATTACCCAATTGCACGATAAATGTGCACGTAGCAGAAGCTCTACGGAGCCTTCAATTAGCAAGGTTTTTTTTATAGAATAAACGAGCACAGTCTGCCTGATGGTGAAGTAGATGCTGTGGCCCTTAGACCTCTACATCTATCCTCATTTATGAATCAAAATGCAGATGCGTTGGCACCCCTAAACACTAGGATGAAATGCCTCGTATCCAGTAAAATGGATGTCTGCTTCTCTACTTACACTCTCCATACGAAACACAGCAGTATTAAAAAAAATGAGTCACTCTTACCATTTCTATTTTACAATGTTCATTAATTTTGTACAAAACTTGATAAATAATAAAACAATCTTTAAACAAACATTGAATGCGTAGATCCCCAGATATATCATAAGTTAACTATCTAATAATATAATTATCAGCAAATAGGTACCGAGAATACATTGACGACGTAATATGATTATGCTATAATTTAAGTTAAGGGTATTAACTTTAATAATTTCTACCGATAAATCAATTAACCAACGACGAATATTTGGCAGTTTTGATTATCTATAGGTAACTATAAACATTTGAAGTTATTGATAGCCAAAAATTATGATATTAATGAGAATTAACGACCTAACGACCTTGACTATATTTTTGACTGATAATAAGACTTAGTGAAATCTAAATTCAAAACGTATTTCACCATTGACCGGTCAAGTTGGTCTGTAGATCAACGTCAGTAAACAGAAACAAGTAAAAACATCTAACTGCTATCCTAATACTTATTAAATCTAATTGCTTTCTTTCTCAATAAAGAATAGAAGAACATAAACACTGGTACGTGAGCAATACGTGTCATCGTTTTAGAAGATATAGCAAAAGGCCGGCACGACACGCTGGTTAAATGGGCGCGCCATGTTGGGTGCAAGTAATGCAAGTCAAGGTGGGCGTTTGCGCAACTCTACAAGGACTACGCAGCCACTGAGACACAGTACAAGTTTTGAACAACATCCTACAAGAATGCGAACTAGTTTACTACAAGGATACATTTAAAATAGTAAAAACTGTGTTAATGTATCACAACATAATCAAATAAATAAAGCATAATGTACGACGTATCGCCTGTGCAGCTCTGCCGATACGAAAACCCATAACGAAAGTTTACGTTATCAAAGTCCTCTGACAGTACAGAACTATACATTTTTGTTATAATAATATTAAGTAGAAACGTAGAAGTTTTGCAACATTTCAAACAATATATTTCACCATAACGCGATGAGCCGTGGTAGCTCTGGGAATAAACAAACTGAGTCGATCTCAACCGCTACTGATGTAATTGTTAATATCGATTCTGAGTGTTAATTCACCACGAGAACGACGGTAAACGAAATTCAGAGAAATCATAAATATTACTAGTAGGATTTTAAATATAATATGAGATTAGGGCAGCGCTGTGGACATTTCCCTGCTTCCAAAACTCTCTCAAAATTTAAAGATGACCTGTGTCACGTTGGACGTGATCCCCCTGAGTACCGATTTCATCCAAAAATGATTCGCAAGGCTATTGAAATCAAAATCATCCCAATTCGAAAGAGATGATAGCTGGATGCTACCATCTGCTTGGGCGATGAGCCTATACTTAATAAAATTAAATCCCAATCCAAGTATACAACTGCAAGACTTCAAGATACTATAAGTCCAATCCATATTGCGTAGATCGGACCAAAAATAAATAATTTTAATTTGAAGTTAGCCGTGGTAAACGTGGTTACTTTGGGACTTGGAACATCTCAGTCCCCTCTGGACCATGGGTGCTGTAAAGTACTCGAAACGTCGAGAATATAAAACAAGTTAATATACGCGATATAATCCGTAAATCCAGTTTTAGTAGTGTTCGCGTAAACATATTTATGTAAGAAATCATTATTATAAAACTATTTTCTCTGCTATATGTTACAGGTCAACGGGGACAGGTTCTCACTATGATTTTGTATGTGATCTGTTAAAATATTGTTAATCGAAGGAAAGGCTAGATAAATTTAGTGACCAACGACAGAAGATAAAAGAATTTCTAATACATCAGGCCTAAATTACCGTTAAGGCCGTAAATGCATTTTTATAGATGCAAGGCGTCTGATGCTATATTTTACCTGGCAGACGAAGACACCAAATAATTGGACAATTATTTTACTTAATTTCTTAAATGATTAGTCTAACATCTTTGAAGGCGATAGCTTTCAAGACATAGGCGACTATTTAGTCAAGAATTAAGACACGTTCGATTCATGTTCTCGAAATGTAGTAAAGGCAGTTCGGCCTACGCCTTGCACAATACGAGCGAGGACATCTGGCTGAACGGCACCCATTGCGCAGTTTACATAACTGACTTAGTATCGAGATTCAAACCTTTCAAATTTTAATATTAACCATCTTATAATGGTTAGTGGCGTAAAAGAATCCATTACTCCATTTCATGCCGTGAGTGTTGTAAGTGTCGACTAAGTAGCACTAACTATATGAAATGCCAGTAAAATTTTATAGCTTTCCATAGATGATGATATAACCATATCGTTTACCATTACAGCTTATTAAAGTCCCCTGCTGAACATAGCTCTCCTCCTTTGATTGCCTCATTGGAGGTATATTTGTCATAGATGCCATGCTTGGCAAGCGGGTTGGCAGCCGCAATTTTTTTTTTGTCGTTATTATGAGACGCTGCTGCCCATCTGCTGATTTGTTTCCTTCCGTCGCCTCCTACGACACCCACGGGCTGATATGGGGTAGAGGTAGTGGATATCCTTACACCGCCACACACTAATATCTCGTTTACGTCAAACGTAAATAACCTTGATCTGCAGCGGGTAGCGACGTCAAAGGTGCGAGACGTCAAAGGTCTGATACTACAATCATCAATCCCGCCTGCGCAGCATGACGGTAAAGCCAAATCCATCGCTACAGCACCTAGCAGACACCCAGGTCCAGCAGCGGCCTTTTACAGGCCGGTAAACAAGTGAAGTGAAGTAAAAAAAAATCATATTTTTATATACCTACAGTAATTAAATCATAATATTCCTAAATAGGACACCAATAAAAAATGAATAATGGTGGCGATAATAATCATTTCTAGGATCGTTTTCAGAGACAAGAAAATGTGTTAGATTTTTCTCAGACAATGAATGACTCTCTAGCAAACAGCCGTTACCGGAATGAAATAATAAATTTAGTAATATTCCTAACAATAATTGAATGTATAAGAGGTTTATACTACTTATATTACGCAAAATAAAGGTATTTTAATGTTAAACATACATATGTTTATGTTCAAAAAACACAGAAGATTTATTCCTTCATCACAAAAATAAATTCATAAATACAATATATGACTTTAATTTAATTTATAATATTTAAAAGTACTTAAAAGCTTATGAGTCTAATTTTTTTAAACCAGTCAATTAACTAACAAAGGCCATACAGCTTACTTTAAAATCAAAATATTATATTACTAAAACCTTTATATTGAGTTAATACTAACTGTCACTATTTTACATAATGTATTCTCAGACAAAACCCCATTTTATATAGGCTATGAGATGACAAAACCTAATACACTATAATTGAATGACCCTTTCGAACTGTACAAATTAACAACAGAAATATCTGCATTGATTGTTTCCATGAGAACATTCAAAGCATGAGACCAGAGGGCACCAAACAATTTATGCATTATTCAGCTAATAACAATACATTCCCAGTACTATTACCCCTTGAAAACAACTCATATGAAGTAATTTCATTTAACCTTTGTAGTACAATAATGTTATTTGTAAACTGTCCTCTTATGTAATGTTGCGTAACATTGTTTTAATAAGTGAATGAGCTGTCGGAGACGTCGTTTACATGCAAAGTATATTAAGGCAGGGAAGTCGAGTGATTTTTATTGTTTTTTTTTTTCTTTTCAATATAAACTCTCGAACAGATAGGCAAAATATGGTGGGCACCCGCCGTACGCTACTGTGTATTTATAGACGCCCCACACGCAGAAGTGAAGCGCGACTATAATGGTGCGCGGGAGACGCTTCACCGCCGCCAAAGTTTCTATTCAAGGCAGGACCTTGCCATAAACTACTTATACTTCCGAGATATGCCACCGTTCAATAGCGTTATTAATAATAACAAATAAAAAAAATTATGTTGAGATAATCTCTCTGGCCATAAATGAAATGGACGTCTTAATGGCAGCCACGTGACTATAAAACTATGGGATACTAGCTTTTATAATTAAAATATTGAATGGTAACAAAATAAGAACTTCCCAGTCACGCCGCAATTTAGATACGTATTTCAATCAGAAGTTTCGAAACTTGGTGACGACTAAAAAAAAACGCTCTTGAGTCCTGGGCTGCTGAGTGATATGCGTTGAAAATGAATGGCAAACGCGTCGCTTTGCCGCACGCCTCTCGGAAATACTAGGGCCTTAGGTTAAGGCGTCACCACTGACCACACGGTGCGAAGCAGCAGCGACGTGACGGCGCAGCGCGGCGCCTGTGAGATGTTGCAGCGTCAATCAATATTAAAAGCCGACGTGATACACGGTGCGGTGGGAAGCAAAGCAATCAACTTTGCACCTCTAGTGCCAGATTTAGCGCTTCTTTGTCTACACAGTCTACCGAATCCAGCTTTAACCCTGCCGGTGCGGTGCCGCGAC